AAAGTATTGGTAAGGAACTATAGAGAACCAAAAGAGAAGGGAAAGTCAAATGGCTTAGTTGTGTAGTAGTTTGAAGTAATTGTTCTCTTAGGGAAGGTTCTGGGTTCGAATTCTAGCATTCGTATAGTATGTGAGTTTAATATATTAGGGCTTGTCCAATATAGATCCATACATTTTCTATTTTCTAGACATATACCCATTACTCTATAAATCTATGTGTAAAACCCAATTTCAAATTTAAATGACTAGTAGAATATAAGAGGTCGTAGTATTTCTATGTTTTTACATCGTTGCCACTAAACTTCATATTTTATTTATAATTTATTTCAAGCATTTCATTAACTGTCATAATTGTAATTAATATACTCCCTATTAATAGCATATCAATCACCCCATTTCTTATAGTTGTCATTCCCTCTCACATCTCTCGCCCCCTAAAATTGCAAACAAAAAAAAAATCTGTAAATTACATATCCAATAATGTACTTATGAAAATTATAATATAAATATATACATATAAAATATAGGTATCCAATAAATTGCATATCCAATAATGTACCTATGAAAAATAGGTACATTATTAGAGTCAAAAAAATAGTGGAGAGAGAAAATAGGTTCATTTAAAAAAATTACTTTTAATAAAACAAATAATAGGTACTTTATTCAGAGAAAAAAGGCTATATTATTTATAGAAAAAAATAAATTACATTATTTAGATAAAAAATAGGTACATTATTTAGATAAATAATAGGTACTTTATTCGTAGTAGGTATATTATTCAAATGGTAGGTACATTGGATGACATATAATACCTAAATCCTAATTGTAAGTACATTAAAATTAATGTAGGTATATTGGATGTCAGTAAGCCAAATTTACTAAATATATTATCGTCTCCCTCACTAGGAAATGTCATGAAAAAAAGAAGGAAAAGAAGTGTGAGGCAGAGAAAACGACATAAAGCCAACTCACTCCCGATTATTAATGCAAAAGTTAGCATATTTAGCAGATTTCGCGGGTCAAATTGACTAACATGGAATGGAAGCATAGCAGAGCAGAGTAACAAAGAAATTGGGCAGTGACAGAGAAACCCTTATATTGGAGACTGAGACACCATGAGCAGTCAATTAAGTTTTGAATAAGAGCAGTGAGTGGGGAAAAGCAGCAGACAAGTCATTGTACAAAGTCACAGACGTTAGATGAACTGTATAGTGATGTCTCCGTCACATCAATTATCAAGTAAATCGTCAATGTTTACATGTGAATTGTTACAACTACAATCTATTGCATGGGTACAAAAATTATTAATTGTATTACATACATGCCATCCACCCAAATTATAACATGTATTATGTTTACAATACAAGATTTGGGGTTTGGATATTGGTTACAGGAAGAACGAATGGTAATATCACCCTCGTTGGGTTATTATGGCCCATTGAGTGTTGTAGCAGCATTTCGAAGGTAGAATGTATCACTTAATGAGTCACGATGATTTATTGAATGTGATATTTTTATGTGTTCGTACTGAGTGCGTGAATGTATAAAAGAAAATTAGTGCAAGTGCAAAATACAATATCAACATGTCACGTGATATATTAGATACAAGCCCGCCCTTGTAATAGGGTGGATCAATATTCAAATGAAAACCAGAGTCTTCACATCCACCTCTTCAAGTTTGTATTGGGTTGGGTTTACTTAACCGGAAAATAGGTAATACATTGTACTGGCTTGTAGTGAAGGATTGGGCCTGCTACAAGTGGGTAATAAAAGGGTTTTTTAGGGTTTTGAAGGATAGAGGGAGAGAAAGAAAGAAAGCGAGAAACAGAGAGAAGCGATGCCGGCGGGTCATGGGTTGCGCAGTCGGACGAGGGACCTGTTCTCACGGGCTTTCAGGAAGAAGGGCTACATCCCACTCTCCACCTACCTAAAGACCTACAGAACCGGCGACTACGTGGACGTGAAGGTAAACGGCGCCGTTCACAAGGGCATGCCCCACAAGTTCTACCATGGCCGCACCGGCCAAGTCTGGAACGTCTCAAAGCGCGCGATCGGCGTCGAGATGAACAAGCAGGTCGGCAACAGGGTCATCAAGAAGCGGATTCACGTGAGGGTGGAGCATGTTCAGCCGTCGAGGTGCGAGGAAGAGTTCAGAGCAAGAATGGTTCGAAATGACGAGCTGAAGGCGGAGGCAAAAGCTCGTGGGGTGAAGATTAGCACCAAGAGGCAGCCTGAGGGGCCTAAGCCAGGCTTCATTGTCGGCGGGGCTTCCATTGAAACTGTCACTCCCATTCCTTACGACGTCGTCAATGACCTTAAGGGTGGCTACTGATAAGTTTCATTTAATCGGGTCTCCATTTTCATTGTTTCTTGTTTTTGACTCTGTTTTTGTATCTGGGTAAACTCTGTTCTGCTCATATTTCAAATTTGACAATGCAATTCTTATTGTCCTTCAACTTGTGAGAAAACTTAAACAATGTTACTATGCGAAATGTATCATTTAAATTTTTTGTAAAGCTGGTTGAAACTTGGTGTTCAAGGAAGGAATCATGTCACACTAACATCGGCCTTATCGATCTCCGACTGATACTTTTATTCTATTTTAAATTCTTGGGTAAGAATTTGAGACTGGAACTTTCACTTCCATCAAGAAAGGAATGTTGTACGGTACAGAGGTAGTGTTGTTCTTCAGTCTCTGTAGTTTATGGGAATTCCTCTTCACTTGAGCTTTAAAGAAAGCCTCCAATTAAACAAATCACTGGGTTTTATGCTTTGCTAATTTAGTTTGTCTACTGACCGGATATCTTGTTTGTAAAGCAAGAATAAAGAGATTGGAAACATTGTACAGAACTGGAGATTTGATTCTGATTTTCAAACAGGCATATATAAAAGGAATAAAACAAACTTAGGTGTATCAAGCCCGTCGAACCGTTGAGCTCCAACCAGAAGGTTGCGATGGCAGACACGAAATGGGTTATTCAAGTTAATAAAGAGCTCAGTAAGATGGAAGATCTTACAACGGAGAAGGAACACTGGAGCAAGGGGTCAATCTACAAATTACCAGTTTCCATCACAGACATAAACAAGAAGGCCTACCAGCCCCAGGTAGCCACCTTCGGTCCTTACCATTTCGATCATTTAAATACAACGGAGGTGCACAAGCACCGTGCGCTTCTTCATTTCCTGAAGAGATGTGGGAAACCTCTTGAATTGTTTGTCAATGCACTGACTGAAGTGGTGCAAGATTTGAAGGACTCGTATGATCAGCTTGATCCTGGGTGGAAAGATGATACAGCAAGATTCTTGCAACTAATGATTCTGGATGGCTGTTTCATGCTGGAGGTCGTGCGTATTGCTTCAAATATATTGGATGATTATGCTCTTAATGATCCCGTCTTCAGCAATCATGGGAAGCTCCATATCATACCATATATCAAACGCGACATGTTAATGATTGAGAACCAGTTGCCGATGCTGGTTCTCAGCAAGCTGGTGGAAGTGGAGAGCAATAAGGTATAAGAGTCTGGATCCTCCACTCTTAGTTTCTTGTGCCGACTGAGTAATTAAGTAGTTGTTGATTTTGATTTTAATTATTTCAATAATGTCTACTTTGTTTTACACAGGATGAATTGTCTGTGACCAGGCTCTTGCTCAAGTTCTACTCCTCTGGCACATCAGCCTCCAACATGGGAAAATGTTTGCACGTATTGGATGTGTATAGGAAAAGCCTGCTTCAGTCAGAGCCCCAGTGCAAAACAGGTCACTGCCCACCAGAGCCCCTGAATCGTCACGATGTGATTATCTGGTCTGCAACAGAGCTTAATGAAGCCGGAATCAGATTCAAGAAAAGCAAAACTGGTAGCCTGAAAGACATCTCATTCTCTGGGGGAATCCTCAGGCTCCCAGTCATTCTTGTGGATGATACCACCGAGTCGATGTTCTTGAATCTGATAGCATTTGAGCGCTTCCATGTTGGGGCAGGCAATGAGGTGACATCCTATACTTTCTTCATGGACAACATCATAGACAATGCTAGAGATGTTGCCCTCTTACACTCCAAAGGTATCGTCCAAAATGCTCTAGGAAGTGACAAAGCGGTTGCTAATCTGTTCAACTCCCTCTCCAAGGACATAACACTGGACCCAGAAAGCAGCCTCGATGCGGTACATAAGAAGGTCTATCATTACTGCCGGAAGCCGTGGAACGAGTGGCGTGCCAATCTTATTCATACTTACTTCAGAAATCCCTGGGCTTTTATATCTCTAATTGCCGGCGTCTTCCTTTTTGTGCTCACCATAGCTCAGACTGGATATTCCATAATTCCCTACTACTATCCAAATGATTCTCCTCCCACCTGTACATGTTTACCTGTGGCTCCTCCCCATGCGGCTTCTTCAAACCATGCATACTCCACCTCACCATCAAAATTTATACTTTCTGTTCTTATTTCCGTTGGATGGATGCTTACAAAATGAGGATTTCATAATTTTCTTTCCAGCGATCATCTGTTGGGTTTGGAGGTTGTTTTCATCCACAGTTTCTTTTCCTTACTGATCTTGCCTATTGGTTAATTGAATTCTTTGTTTGATGTCCAGCAATCTTGACCTTCTGATAGATCAAATTGCTCTTCCCCACAGAATTGAGTTTTGTGACCAGCTTTTAAAAGATAAGACGAAGGACAAGATTCATTTCAATAAACTAGTAGGTTCCACACCAATGCAAAAGAAACAAGCTAGCTGGGTCTATTTTCTATATACATATATTCATCAGTGAGACATGTTGCAAGAAAAAGATTTCTCAAAGATCGTATAAATAATTATTGTAATAATAAAAAGTATTGATATTTACAAAATACCCTAATTTTAAATATCTCCATACGTTTTTCAAGCCCATAAATCATAAAGAAAGCTTGGTCCTACACCACCTTCTGTAGAGAAGCTCCAGTCTGTACATGTAAGGAAAGCAGGGGAAACACTGCCTGCCGGAGTCTATCAAGGCCAACTCCAACTTCTCTCTTATCTCAAAATGCAAGAACCAAAATTGGTCGAACAATCTACGTCCGCAGTCTAAGATAGAAATCGACTGCACTTGCGCGGTGCAACGCATATAACCCAACAGAGCTGCCCTTAAGCAATTCATTTTCCAATTCCAATTAAGCTAAGCTGCAAGAGATAAGGTAGATTATGAGACTACAATACCACTAGATAACTCAACATTTTATTGGCACAAGAAAATTAAATCTAACACCACAAGAAACAGAGAAAGGAATTACAATGTTGTTCTGAGGCTTCCCCCAGTAGAATCCATGGATGATAACTGGCAAGAGATTGCAGGCTACAAGCACAAAAATCATCAATGCATGCATTCCCATCCACTCCATCACAATAGTTGGGCGCCTGTAGCCACACACATCAACCTGTGGAAAACCCGATTCGTTATCAACTTAGAAGAAGAGGAAGAGAAAACTAAGCAGACTGAAAATTTAATGTTTCTTTCCCATCACAAGACTAGAAATCCTACCATCAAGTAAATTGCAGTAAAGAGAATGCCAGCAGAACCAGCTGTGATACACATGTAACTGAATGTGTAAAGAGGCTTGTTTATATGCATGCCTGAAAAACCAAATGAATGAGATAATTTAATGATAAATTTTTTTTCAGCAACTTCAATTATTAATACAGAAGACTCATTTATATATTATAACAAAATTGTATAGCAATCACGTACCTAATAAGTCCAAGGCGAGGCCTAAGATTATAAGAGACGAGGATGAGATAGACCAGCGCAGGATTCTGTCCCTGTGACTCTGCATTTAGAGGGGGTAATGGTTAGAGACACTTTGCTGAGGAAAACAAAACAGATAAAACTTGTGATATATGAAGCTTTCTCACCTTAAAATGGACAATAATGTGTCCATAGTGCAAACCAACCAAGCAGGTAACAATGGCCATCATGGAACTGCAACAATGAAAGTAAGTTTTTGCAAAATTAAGACAAAGAAATTACACATAGTGATGCAATAGGATTCTCCAATGAAGTTACACATAATAAGATGCGCATCGAAATTGCTAACACACCTTAAAAGTCCTTCAGGGTCAAAGGGAGCTTGACACCAAGAAGGAGCATCAGCCGGTAACGGGCCATTATCAGGGGAGTTAATACTGCATTGCTGTAAAAATAACAAAATTTAAAACTAATTGTTAGGAATGAAAGTGAGGAACACCAAAAGTAAATGAACCTAACCAACAAAATAGATACTAACCTCTGTTCGTGCATAGATTGGTCGTCTATATAAGTGCCTAAGACCCAATATCTTACGATCAATCATCCCAACAGCATTACATGCTGGTCCTGTGTCACCCCGTACTCCGCATTTAACCTTCCAAACCGAGATGAGTTAGAAACGCCAGTCACATAATTTTTAAAGAAAATCATACTTGAAGAAATCGGAGGACAATTAAAAACAAATGATCAAAACTTACTGAAAATGTCTTTGGTGCGGAGGAGGAAACACCAGGAATTTGGTACTCCCAATCAGGAACATGCAAGCCGTATAAGAGTGACAGATATAGCACAGTGATTATCAATGCTGCCGACCTGAGAATGAGGTTCCAGACATTGTTCAAAATTGAGCAAATGTACAAAGTATTATCATGGTCAAGAGAAAAAACAAAAAGTAGGCACTACGATACGATTGCAAAAAAATATAACTTACCATTGAAATCGATATTTCCTGAGCAGAGAACGTCCTGAGTTGACATTATCGTCACCCTTTAGCCAAATCTCGCACAAAGCTGCTACAAAATAAGCTATTGCAATTCTCTGGAAAACAAACAAGGCAGCTGGTGTTTAAGAGCTAAGATAGAAACAACAAAATGAAATTGAAAACCATAGAGAAATTAGTTCTAACTCTTCTCTCCAAGTTTCGACTAATCTATCAGGCAAAATGCGCAGCTTAGGAAATTAAAACTAGTGATATATAGCATACCTGTAGAATGCCCATCCATCTCATCTGTTCAATATCCACCCCAAATGTTAGATCCTTGATGCCATGAAAATAGCCACCTGGATGCAAAATACACCGTACATTTAGTTTACAGAAGCATATAATTGCAAACAAAACTTGCATTGCAGAGTAAAATTATTTTACACTAAACATATAGAATTAAACTATTTGTATCTTCATGATCAACAGATATACATCAAATACTTAGAATTTGGCATGTTTTAGTAGTTAACCTTGAAGGAAAAGGCCCAATGCTAGAAGCTTCAGTGTCCTCAAAACTGTTTTTCTAGTCGCAACGGTTCTGCATGACATTTTCTGTACAGGAAACGCAAACACGTTTTGGTTAGCTTTGCTTCTTCTTAAAACAATGACCCTTTTGAACATTTTATAACATTGATTGAGTAAAAGAACAAATTAAGGGGAGCAGAAGAGCATGAGATATGGTGTACCTTGTAGGTAAGTGAAAGGGAAACACCAACCATAAAGAGAAAAAATGGCATGACCAAATCTGCAAGGGTCAAACCGTTCCATGGTGAATGGTTAATAGCAGGCAGGATCCCACCAACGTCGTCCACTAATATCATGATCTGCACCAATAATACCATATATATAAATTATAATTATGGAAAATCAACATCTTATTTACAAACCAAAAACAAATTAAATAAAAAAAAGAATTAGATCGAGTTATACTTCTTACGAATCATAATTTGACACATATACAACGGCGGGCCAAGAGGACTTTATTAAGCAACCCATTAATTGGTCCATAGATGTCATACTAAAGAAGAAGATGCAGATGTTATTTATTAACGTGCAGGGGGGGGCATCCTAGTCACTCAAATACAATACAAAAGGCAAGTGATGAAACAGCTTTTTGCAAATGTCGGTGCACCTGACAAATGTACATTGGTACCATAATCAATGTCGGGAACATCATGATTTCTTTTGGGTAAAGCGTTACATTGCATCTGATCTTTGTAGATTTGAACCGAGATCTACTTTGAAGGCTAAAAACGATTTGAAAAAGAAAACAAATCATTGAGTGTTGGATTGGGAGGAAAGGAAAGAACATAAAAGATATGCAATGTATATCAATTTTTTTTAGTCCGGCAACCGAATCACCCGAAATGTGCCACGACAGTCGCACAAAAGAATCTCTCCCTACGAAAAGAGTTGCTATTTTGTTTCCTTGATTTTGGATCCGATGATCCTTGATTTCTTCAGACCTACAATAATCTAACAATCTTATTATTTTAATGGGGTTAGTTTGGGCTTTTCCCATTTTAAGTATCTGCAAAATAGACGACCGCACCAAAAAAATAAGAATAAATAAAGAGACGTCGATACTATGGTTAATAATAATAATAATAAATAAATTATTTATGAGTTACTTAAGAACAGTTCATTAGTCACGACTCATCAGTCATCCTTTTTGTGGACGGTTACAAAAACACTAAGAAAAAAGCAAACCTAAACCCTCTCCTCCTGTACTTAGAAAACAAGAAAAATGCAAAAAAAGGAGGAGGAAAACTGATACGGTGCCGTATCGCCGAACGAATTCCCCTTAATTAAAATTAAAATTTGTTTCTGTTTTCGTTTTTAATTTTTCTGGGTTTTGAAAGATAAGGAATATGAAAAAAGCAGCAGAAACATAAAGAGGAGGCTGAAAGTAGACGACGTTACGTACCGCAACCGTAAATCCCCGGAAAACGTCGAGGGAAACAAGGCGTTGCTGTTGCTGTTGCCGCAACTTCGAAGGCAATGAGGCCGCAGCCGCTGCCGCTTCCTCTTTACTAACATTCTTATAAGCAGCGGCACCACCGCCACCACAGGCGGAGGCGGAGGCGGCGGCGGAAGAGGCCGATGTCGATTTGGATATCTGCTGAATGGCCATCTCGACATCCTCATCATGATCAATACTGATGTTGTTGTTCTTCATCATCATAGGATTCGTCATCCCACGTTCTTCGTCATCATGTTCGCATCCTTTAATAGGTTCGTACATCGCCATATCTCCCTCTCTCCTCCCTACCCTATCATCACCAACACCACGCGTTATTATAAACCTTTCATCTTCTCCTCCGTGCATGTAAATGTAAATGGCTATATACAAAATAAAAAATATGGAAATAAAATTGGCGAATGACAACAAAACCTGAATTGGGTGGACACCAGATATGAATAATATTCACCTTATCTTCCTTATCCGCCTTGTTGTTTTTCTGCGTTTGTTCTTGGCAGCCGGTAGGGTGGGGGGAAGGCACCCTGCAGCACTTGTAAATGCTCCCCAAGCCGCTGGATGACCTTCTCCTTCCTTTCTTCTGGTTTCTCTTTTGCGCCCCTGCCCCTCTCTCTCTCTCTCTGTTTCTGCCTCTCTCTGTCTCTCTGTCTCTGCTTTTATATATCTTTATTGACAACTCCTAAAAGGAATATAATTTGTATATTTATAGAAAGAGTTACAACAGGTATGGGTTTGTTGGTTCAGGAGGTAAGTATCTATCGCAACAAAAAAAACAGATATTTGTTATTATTATTATTTTATTATATAGGCAACACAGATATTTGTTTTTGATCCCTCGATTTTCCCCCCTATTTACCCTCCAATTCTCCCAACTGTATCCCCCTCGCTCTCCGTCTGACAACAACAATTGCGTCCGAGTCCATCTACTACACTAGTTCCAGTCTCTCCTCCAACTCCAAGTAGTACATAAATATTGTGCACCCCGTACCCTAGGGCCTCCCCATTTACTTTTGACGGCTACGATCTCACATCAGAAACATGACTATCTCCAAATGTCGACATTGGTTTTCAGATTTTCACAATCTATTTCGACATGGTTTCCTGAATTGTTTCCGACTTGTCAGCCGCGATCTGCATGCACCCAGTCACATGGCGCCAGGCGCCGTAAACATGAATTCTGGGCCTTCACAGCCACAGCCCACAGGCGTGACGCCAACCAACAACTGAAACTGTTGCTTTACTTGCATGAGACAGCTTTGCATACAGCAGGCTCAGCTCACCCAGATTTTTTGCACAACTTTTTAACTTCTAGAATAATCGTGCATGAATCTGACACTCCAAATTTCCCTTTCTTTTTTTTTTCTTTCCATAAACAAACGTATATATATATGTATTTAATTCGTACAAGTTTCCCAATTCCTTCCAAGATTAATTGATTTCCTCGCTAAATAACATTGACTTTATTTTTTGGGTTTAAATATGTGAATAAAAATCTTACTCTTAAAGAAGGAGAATCAAATGATTTAATGGGGATGAATATTTGAATAATAACTTTATGTATATGGCAATAGCAAAATTTACTACTGCTCAAGTTGCGGCTAATCCTTTTATTCTTTTTATGGGTTATGTGTCCGTTCACCGTTCAAATTCAGTAATGGATGGCTGGTTAGCTCCTCTGCTTTGGACATGCGATCAGGTTGAGAGAGAGAGAAAATCATAAAAGAGAGAGACGGAACAGAAAGCAAGAAGAAAGCAAGATGAAATTCGAATATTCCCATATTCTTTATTATAGGAAGGACACGGGTAAAGATAAGCGCAAAGCAAACCGGCCCACTCATAAATTTGCATGGTTATAAAAAATTCCAAAGATTTAGCACCTCCTCCTTCTCCTCCTTCTCCTCCTCTCCTCAATAGGCGACGCCAGCTAGCTAGGACACTAAATTGAATTTAACAGAACATGCGTAAGATAGGCCAGTTGATCAGGACAGTGAGACTTCCATTCCGACCATCAAACCTAAATAACCATATCCCAATAACAACCTACGTGTGATTAAATTAGGAAAAAATTAAAAACCACAAGCCCATCCCATTGCCATTGCCACGGCCACCGTTCATGACGTCCTGAAATGCAATATTCCTAATTTCTTTTGCAGGCCATTGCGCACGTAGAGACAAACACAGAGAAAAGTTACCTCTGTAAGTTAGGTTTTGTGCCTAAAAGCTGGAACCAACGTGAGGGTGTAGAGCGCAAGGCGGTGATAAAAAAAGAATAATATGAAGCATGTTATTATGTTACCTATTTCTTTCCTCAAAAAACCATTGGGGTTGGTTGGGTATGCAAATAAGCACGGTGGTGGTCCAAAACTCCAAACAGCTAGTGGGCTGATTCACCATCGCCACCATAGAATGTGAACGTGTGATTAGGAAGGTGTCTACGTATTAGATTCGATCAAGGTTGGAGCAGTTAAAGGAAGGGCTAGTGGGTTTACCAAAACCAAATATAACGCATATTACAACAAAAACAGGAAAAATTTCCAATCAGTGGTTTTTTCTTTTAGCTTCATAAAATTGGTAGTGCTTTGTCCACATTCCCTCTTTGCTTGCAATTGGATCGATTGCCATGAGTTTCTTTTGAGTAAAGCAAAATCTTACTGCCTAAGCATACGATCCCGCCACGTAATCGGGGCACAAACTTTGAATGATTGCTGTTGGCGATTGCCACCCACTGTTTCACCAAATGCTTCTGTAATTGAACAGAAAGATTAACTTCTAATTTAAAGTAAGCTCTATCAGAGGAAATAAGAATATGGTTGGTACTTTTTTGGACAGATTGTTTCAAGCATCACTCTCAGGGAGAGAAAGAGAGCGCATTTGCAGGCCAATGCTGCAGACAGACTTGAAACAAGGGGGGAAAAGCATCACCATATTGTTGGTGATAGCATAGTATAGTTTCAAGCCAAAGAATGTGTGAGCGTAACATTTTCTACGCGATAAATACAATTCCAAACAGCTAGCATATGCAGACACGCTTAAACAACATGCAAACTAACGACCCTTTGTGATACAACTTCTATCACCAAAAGTCAACATTGTAATCCCGCATTTGTCACCAAACTTTGGACAAAACTAAGCTTTCCTAACCCAGTTTGGTATCAAGTCTAGAATTTCCACCAAGAAGCTGTTGGCTCTGACTTAGGAAAGCAAACTTTTCCTAGATTACAAGACTATGGCACAGGCAACAACAATCCACCACAGAAATCATTTGGTCATAATATCTTTTAACAAGAACTAGAATATGCCAGCTTACCCATCGCATTGATAGAGGCGTAACCACTGCAAAAGAAACCTCCAAAACCTCTAAGGCTGTTTATGATTTCTTTAACTGAGAGGATCATGGTGCACCAATTTTTGATCTCTTGAAGCCTGTGACCAAACATTCAGTGAGTATTTTTAGCATACACCCAATATAGGGTTAATGCATTTAATCCTCTTGATTTCCATAGAAGCATGGTCTGTAATCAGAATATTACCATTTATCCGAGTCTTATCCATTAATTCTATATTAGCTTTTTGCAAAAAAGTTGGATAATCCTGGAATGATACACATGTTCACATGATCATATCAATTTTATACATATGTGTGCTGTATGTCTCACCTTGTTGCCAAAGAAAGCATGCCTTTGTTTTCCACTTAAAAGTATTGGCTCTTGCTATTCTTTTTAAGTATGTACTCTTTACACAAACTTCTTTTACTACATCGTTAGGCACACGATTCAGACACAGGAAGTCTAAGCTTTCCTTCTGTCAATTTTCACTGACAAAATCCACATTCCCAATTATCATTAGGAAGCTTTTATTAACTGGCAACCAGATATTACAAATGATTTATTTTTTCTTTGCTTGTTTTCTTTTATGATTTTCCCTCTAGAATCCTGACGAGAAAAATAACTAGAGAAGAAGTATTTCTCTAGTCAAGAGACTGAAAATGTCAACACATTCAGAACAGGTTACCATGCCTCTCAGCCTGTTCTACTAGCTTAAACAGAGACATTTTAAACTTTTTCTTCATATACACTATCATAGTTAAATTTTGGTCTGAACCTGTACTAATCATGGATAAATAAATGATCTTGCAACAACAGCACAAATAACCCCACACATTTTGCTAAGGATGCTGTGGGTGAGACAGAGATAATACGAAACGTGTCAGATAAATTTGAATTGCCTAGCAAGGACAAAAACAGAGGATCACTAAACATGCTTGCTTGGTAATGCATCTATTTCATTTTTGATAAGTGTCATTATCTTATAGAAGAATCCTAATCACAACCAATTAAGCTTTTTCAGTATAAAGAAGTTTACAAGCAAGTATCATATAACAATTGAACTGGTGAGAGAGGTCTGGTCACAAGTGATCAAAAGGTGCAAATGCACATTGAGGGTAAAAACCCAAAACTACAAACTATTCACTTCACAGCAGATGCATTTGAATAAAAATATTATAGGACTGAACTGGAGCCTACAATAACTACTTAAAGCAAAAAAGTGATGTCAATGTAGAAAAAAGATAGTGAAACTTACAGAAAGCCAGCAAGCAACCAAGAGAGCAGTTAATTTAGCCATCGATTGAGAGCCCATCACGACCATGACCACTGATCTCTTCATCTTTCTTCAGGTTGCCACAGACATTGCATTCCATTACATTAGAAGGAGTTCCATCATCTTTTGGGGGCAAAGGGGCCAGAGTGCCCCAGCAATTGGTTCTATTACACATGAAACTGAGGAAGAAATAGGCGTGTGGGAAATCAGATTCCACTTGGGCTTGGGCTTGGGCTTCTTCAATGTCACTACCTGACTCTGGTTCTGATTCTGAGGCTGCTTCCATTTCCTGGTCTTGGTCCTCGTCCATGCCCTCTGCTTCTTCCTCACCCTCAATGTTTTCCTCATTATCAGACCAATTGGCTTCGACCTTGCAGCGATCACATTGACAAGCAAACCCATAGTCCTCCGCCAAAGTCCTCTGCCGGCTAGAATAACTCTGGTTCACCGGAAAATAGCTCAAGCAAATCTCCCTTCCCGCCGGAACATCATGGATCATCCTGATCACCATATCGGTGTTGTGGTCGCCGTCAGCGTCGACATAATCGAATCTGCAGGCATTGGGGAGACAATCGTGGTTGAAGAATGAAGCCTTTGGATAAATGGCGTAGGCTCTGCTGGACCTCTGCGAAGTTTCCGAGAAGGGCTCCATTAATCCAAAGGCATTTAGCTTGTCCTTGGCCAGCAGAGCCGCCGAGAGCTCCGCCGAAAACAGCTGCCGCTCTTGGAGAGCGGGAGGAGGAGCGCAGAGGGAAGAGATGAGATAATGCAGAAAGTGGGCAGCCGCGGTGGTGTCGGCGGCGGCCGAGTCGTCTGGCTGGCCCTGGAGAGACAAGAGCATCTGGAAATTGGACGGGGAAACGATTGCGAGGTTGTAGGCGGCGATGAGGAAGCGGGCCTGGACCTGACGCTCCAGCGGTTGGTCGGAGAGAGGGGAAGGGGAGTCGCGGAGGCGGCGGAGGGCTTGGCAGACCCAAGGAGAGTGGGAATAGGAGAGAGCAGAGGAGAGGCAATTGGAACTGCAGAAGGCATGGTGTGAACACCATGGACATACACAAGCTGAAGAACCAGCAGCTTGAGGTTGAGGTTGCTTTAGGGTTTTGAAGCAGTGGTTACAGTAAGGGTGAAGAGAAGGAGAGATGAGAGGAAGAGCAGAGTATAGGAGGATTGGAGAGTCTCTGAGAACGATTTGACCGCCCTTCAGTGGCTGAGCCGCCACCAACGCCCTCCCTCTCCCTTCTGTCTCTGTTACCCTCAATAAGTCTTTTGTCATTTCCATTTGCGTCTACGCTTCTCAGTCGCTTCAGTCTCAAACACTCGGAGAGTTCCACCGCCGTTTTTTTTTTAGGGTTTTCTCTCCTCCTTTTTGTTTCCCACTTCCCGGTTTTTTTTTTTCCTCCTCCTTTTCCTTCTTTCGGTTATTTTAAGAGTACTGCTAAATAACCTTAAAATTAACTGAGTAAATTCTGCTATCAAATTATTTATTGAATTAGCTTTTTTGCACGTGCTTCCGAATGTGCGAGAGGCTTTTTTTTTTTTTTTTTTTTAAAATCACGCGAGCTACGTGCAACTTACAAAGTTTTGTAAATATTTTTTCGCAATTGTACTTATATAGATGTCTGTTTCAACAGTTTCATATTTTAATATCGCATGTGTGATAAATCGTCGTCTTAAAAGTTTTCCCTTATCTCTTGTATCTTTCTAGACGTCCATTGCCCGTATCTTTCTAGACGTCCATATTAACAATTTTCACGCTACAAAAGAAAAAAAAGAAACTGCTAAGATGGACTTCTAAAAAATACGGGCAATAAAAGAAAACTTTTAAGAAGACGATTTATCACACGCATGCGATTAAAATATGAAACTGTTGAAATTGACATCTATATAAATACAATTGTGAAAAAAAAAATTAAGAAACATTGGAAGTCGCGAGTAGTGCACCTGATTAAAAAAAGGCTAAATTATTGAAATGTCCCCTATAACTCAATTTCAGTCTCCGTTTCCCCCCCCTGAAACTCTAAGTGTCTCACTTTCCCCTATAAAACTCCATATAGTGTCTCACTTTGCCTGGATTCCATCCAACCTAACAGAAGTCGTCAAACTTGCACACGTAACGCCCATGTGCCATTTCTATTTCTCTGGGTTCTTCTGTACTTGTAGGTTTTGAAGAGCCAAAAAGACAGGACCCACAATAGATGTAAAACATCACCCATATCTTCAATTAGGGTAAAATCTTCACACAAGGAGAGATATTTTGGGTGATTTCAAAATCTGAGTAAAGCAATAGAATCTTCAACAGTGAAGGTGCAAACTGAATTTGACAATGACAGAAGTAGGAGGACTTTCAGCTTTCACAGGTAAGTGGACCTTCAGATTCTTTATTTATTATTGGCCTTGGGTTCGAATCTAACTGTTAGGCTTTGTATTATTGTATTTGACTTTGAACTTTAAGGAATATTATAATGGGTGTTGTCCAATTAGGGATGAGTACATTGTTTTATTAATTTAGGTATATACTCATGACGATGATGCTTTTAATTTGACTTTGTGACTTTTTACTACTGCAAATGAGTGGCTGGGAAAGTAAATTCAGGGTTTATGCTCTATTTTGTGTTATAGATGTGGAATCAAATTGGAGAAGTGAGGAAGAAGAACAAACTAGCAGTGAGAGTGACGAGGATTTGGATGAAGACCCAGATTTTGTAGACCTTGCCTATGCACAAAGTGAGGAGGATGTGAGATTGTTGAGGGATGATGATAATCAGTTTCAGGGATATGTAGACCATGATGCAATTGATAATGCAGGTTAAGAGGATGAGGAGTCAGATAATAACCCTGCCTCACCTAGGATGTGTACACCAGAGCACTCTTCTTCTGAGTCTGAGGTTGTGACTGGAAACTGCCTGAGAAAGAGGAAGCTCCCTAACTTTAAAGACTTCATCCCATCCATTGATATGAAAAATCCTCAATTTGAGCTCGGTTTAAGATTTCCTACTCGTGAAATCTTTAGGGCAGCTGTGAGGAGGCATTCTGTCCTAATTGGAAGAGAGCTTAAGTTTAAGGTGAATGATGGCAGTAGGATTCGAGTAATTTGTGATGAGAAGTGTCCATTTCACCTATATGCATCATCTGTGCATGGAAGCAAGCATGTTCAAGTAAAAACCTATGTTGGGAAACATACTTGTGGGCAGGGGAATGCGAATATGCATGCCAATGCAAAGTATTTCTCAAACTGGTATGAAAGCAGTTTAACAAATTCTAACTGGGATGTGGGATCTTTTCAAGAGAAGGTGAACCAAGAAACTGGTTATTATCCTTCTAGGGCACAAGCTTATAGGGCAAGAAGCTTGGCAACTAGCAATATTGAAGGGAGTTATACCGAACAATATGAACTTTTATGGGATTATTGTGAGGAGTTGAAAAGGACAAATCCCGGTAGTTCAGTGGTCTTAAAGTCTGAGTTAGAGGGTGATATGCCAAGATTTCAAAGGGTTTACATTTGCTTGCAAGCTTGTAAGCAAGGGTTCTTGGATGGTTGTAGGCCTTATATAGGGTTGGATGGTTGCCACATCAAAGGCCCTCACCCTGGCCAATTGTTATGTGCTGTAGGAGTTTATGCAAATAATGGGATGTTCCCATTGGCATATGCTATAGCTGAAGTTGAGAGTTACAATACTTGGAAGTGGTTTTTGGAGTTATTAAGTCATGATTTGAAGATAGAGAATAGCCACAACTATTTGTTTATGACTGACAAACAAAGGGATTAATTGATGCTGTGGATGATTTATTCCCAAATGCTGAGCATAGGTGTTGTTTGAAGCATTTATATGCAAATTTCTTGAAGGAATATAAAGGATTGGCTCTAAAGCTGCAAATGGAATCAATAGCAAGGGCCACTACACTGCCATGGTTTGTTAAGGAAATGAAGAAGATGTTAGAGTTAGATACAGCTGCACATGCTTGGTTATGTGAGAGGGATGCAAGTCAATGAGCTAGATCCCATTTTAGAACTGACTTTAAGTGTGACATTTTGATGAATAATTTAAGTGAGGTTTTTAACTCATCCATATTACCTGCAAGGAACAAGCCTGTGTTGATTACATTGGAGAGGATTAGAATGTATTTAATGATCTTAATGGCTTCAAGGAGAGTAGCCATGGATAAGTGGCATGGTCAAGTTGGGCCTAGAATACAAGGGGTATTGGAGGTAAATAAGGCAGCTGGGCAGTGGTGCATTCCAAGGCATGCTGGGCAAAATAAATTCCAAGTGATGCATCATAGTGGGAGACAGTTTGTGGTAGATTTGAATGCCCACACATGCTCTTGCAGAGCATGGGATCTCAGTGGTCTTCCTTGCCTCCATGCTTGTGCTGCAGTGAGTAGATTCCATGGGAATCCAGAAGATTATGTGCATGACTTCTACAAGAAAGATGCTTATCTAAGAACTTACAGGGACATGATTCACCCCTTGCCTAGCCAAGACTTGTGGCCTAAAAGTGGTTTACTTCCTTTGAAGCCTCCTCTTTACCATAAACAACCTAGTAGGCCAAAGAAGAGTAGGAATAAGGCATATGATGAGCCTAAAAAGAAATCAAATCCCAACAAACTCCAAAGATACCACACTATCATCAAATGTAGCAATTGTGGGCAAGAGGGCCATAACAGAACTAAATGTAAGGAGCCAATGAAAAACCAGCCAAGGCGTAAGCAATCTGTAAGTATTGCTTATTATATTTCACTACAATTGCACCATTTATTTATTATATTTAGAAAAGCTAACTCTAATATATCATTTGTGTAGGTGAGGATAACCAATACACTAGGACAATCAGTCCAACCTCATTCACAGCCAAGACATAAGCTTCCTGTAACTCAATTTATATACTAGTTTTACAAAAACATACAGACTAGTTTTACAAAAACTTACATACTACAATGTCATTTATGTAGGTGAGGAGAGCTCGTTCAAATTGTCACTCAATGGAACCTAATGCACAGCCAAGCCAATCAACTCATCTTTCACAACCAAGCCAATCAACTCATCTTTCACAGTCAAGTCAATCATCCCGAGCTCAATCACAGTCACTGCATGCCCACATCATTTCTGATAAAGAGGGAGGTCCTTCAAAGAAGAGGTTGACATCTGTTGCAAACAACAAGGAGTGGCTAAAGAAAGTCAGGGCCACTATGCAACCTTGGTAGTGGTGATTTTGATGTCCATGAAGAAGATTGCAATTCTGTTGACTGCAGTTGATGTGCAATTATGTTTTGATAAGGAAAGGGAGAAAACAATCACTGTTGTTCATGTGAAAGAACTAATTTTGGCATATTGTGTTCTTGATGTGGAATTGTAAGCCCTTTGAAATAGATTTGATGTACAATTGGCTGCAGTTGATATGGATTTAAGTTTTTTATATGTCCTTTTGGGTTTTTGATGTGGACATGGTCTTTTCTTGTCAAATTAGAATGTGTAAACTGATGTTCTTAATAGAAATGTACTTAATGAATTGAGCCTATGTTGGCATCAAGTTCATTTGTCAAGTAAATTGAGCCACCGGTGATTTTTTAGTTTCAGTACTCATTACCTATTTGTTTATAGTTTTCTCACTATCTCAAAGTATGGTCAGTTGATACCAAAAACAAAAAAAAAAAAACAAAAAAAAGTAAGACCACTTTACAGAAGAGGTTGAACAATAACAACCAAAAGTATGGCAATATTCAAATACCATTGGATTAACCATTCTAAAAAACACCAGATTACATAACACACAAATGCCATTGTGCTCATCCATTCCCAAAACACTTGCAGATTACAAACTTCCCTCCTCCCCTTTGTTACAGTCAGGATTACTAAACCTACATTACATAGTCAACTCTAAACGTAATGATGATTATCCCTTAAACCACCAACCATCATGGAAATCAACATTATCCAAGAAAGAAATAGAAATCCCGACAACAATTTCTCTCTACCTCGAAGCTGGGCTAGATCTTGTTCCAGTCTTCCTTTGTTCTTTAGCAACCCAGGTATTATATCCTTTGAACGAGAACACATCTCTGGATCAAACCACTCAAAGAAGCAACAACCTTTGTTCCTTCCCTGTACCACCATAATATCATCAAAAACTACCATAAACAAGTAGAAATCTACAAATATTAAAGTGGTTGTTACCAGTGGGCAGACTAGAAACCTCCGACCTGGGTTGGAATCTGTCCATGAGGTCTGAACTCGACAAAGCTTCCTACAATGGCAATGCTTTCGTTGTCGACCCTCCATCGCAACTTCAGTTCAATTGTTGAAGGAGGTCTTTAGGGTTCACAAGTGTTTGCAATTTGGGACCAATTTTTGCAGAGTTAATTAATACCCATAAATTCTTAT